GCCTCAGCCTCCTGAGTAGCTGGGATTACAGGCACGCGCCACCATGCCCAGCTAATTTTTTGTAGTTTTATAGAGACAGGGTTTCACCATGTTGACCAGGATGGTCTTGATCTCTTGACCTCGTGATCCACCCGCCTCGGCCTCCCAAAGTGCTGGGATTACAGGCTTGAGCCACCGCGCCCGGCAAAAGCTAATTTTTGTATTTTTAGTAGAGACGGGGTTTGGCCACATTGGCCAGGCTGGTGTCGAACTCGTGACCTGAGGTGATCCATCTACCTCAACCTCCCAAAGTGTTGGGATTACAGGCATGAGCCACCACGCCTGGCTATTTCAAAATGAATGAAAGAGCCTCTGCTGGCACAGTGGCTTACTCCTGTAATTCCTGCACTTTTGGGAGGCTGAGGCTGGAGGATTACTTGAGGCCGGGAGTTCAAGACCAGCCTGGGTGACATTGTGAGACCTCATCTCTACAAAAAAAATTCTTTTAAAGAAAATTAGCTGGGTATGGTAGCGCATGCCTGCCTGTAGTCCCAGCTACTTAGGAGGCTGAGGCAGGAGAATAGCTTCAGCCCATGAGAGTGAGGTTGCAGTGAGCTATCATTGTGCCACTGTACTCCAGTCTGGGTGACAAAGTAAAACCCTGTCTTTGTTGAGTAATATCAACACCAGTAAACATTTATTAGCACTGCTCAGGCACCAGGTTCTGTACCAAATGCTAACCATGTGTAATCTCTTTTAAATCTTCCAACAATATCAGCTACTTGGGAGGCTGAGGCAGGAGAATTGCTTGAGACCCAGAGGTCAAGGCTGCAAGTGAGCTATGATCGTGCCCCTGTACTCCAGTGTGGGTGACAGAGCAAGAGTGAGACCCTGTCTCCAAAATGACAAAAAAGCAAATAAACATTCTTCTAACAATCTTGGGTAGATAGAGTATTAATTTTTCTTTTCTTTTTTTTTTAGAGAAAGAAAGAAAGAGAAAGAATAAGGGGGAGAGAGAACAGGATTCTTGCTCTTATTACCCAGGCTGGAATGCAATCTAAAAATAGGTAATAAAAACCTCTTTTATGCCGATAATTGTACCTAACAATGGAGACAGGAAGGAATGAGGGAATAAAATAACAAACAAACAGCCAACCAATATTTCATTTAAGTCTGTGAGATACTATGCAAATGCTGAAGAGTGATTTACTTCCAATTATGTGGTCACTTTCAGAATAGGTGTAATATGATACTGAGAAAAATGTATGTTCTGTGGACCTGGGGTGGTGAATTCTATAAATATTCACTGAGTTTACTTATTCCAGGTCTAAATTCAGATCATAGATGTCCCTATTAATTTTCTATCTCGTTGATCTGTCGAACATTAACAATGTGATGTCAAAATCTCCCGTTATTATTGTGCGGGAGTCCAAGTCTCTATAAGTCATTAAGATCTTGTCTTCTGGGCCGGGCACGGTGGCTCAAGCCTGTAATCCCAGCACTGTGGGAGGCCGAGGCGGGTGGATCACGAGGTCAAGAGATCGAGACCATCCTGGTCAACATGGTGAAACCCTGTCTCTACTAAAAATACAAAAAAAAAAAAAATTAGCTGGGCATGGTGGTGCGTGCCTGTAATCCCAGCGACTCAGGAGGCTGGGGCAGGAGAATTGCCTGAACCCAGGAGGCGGAGGTTGCGGTGAGCCGAGATCGCGCCATTGCACTCCAGCCTGGGTAACAAGAGCGAAACTCCGTCTCCAAAAAAAAAAAAAAAAAAAAAATCTTGTCTTCTGTATCTGGGTGCTCCTATATTGGGTGCATATATATTTATGATCATTGACTCCTGTTGTTGCATTGATCCTTTTACCATTTGTAATGTCCTTCTTTGTTTCTTTTAGTCTTTGTTACTATTAAAGTCTATTTTGTCGGAGACAAAAGTTACAACTCCTGTTTTTTTTGTTTTGTTGTTGTTGTTGTTTTTTGCCCTCCATTTGATTGGTAAATCTTCCTCCATCCCTTTGTTTTGAGTCTTTGTGTGTCATTGCTTGTGAGATAGATCTGGATACAGTGTACCGATGGGTTTTGACTTTTTATTCAATTTGCCTGTCTGTGTCTTTAATTAGGGCATTTAATCCATTTAAATTTAGGATTAATATTAATATTTGAGAGTTCAATATTGTGATTTAATGCTAGCTGGCTATTTTGCCCATTAGTTGATGTAGATTCTTCATTAGGAGATACTCTTTACCTTTTGGTAAGTTTTGGGGATGACTGATACTGGTTGTTCCTTTCTGTGTATAGTGCTTCTTTCAGAAGCTCTTGTAAAGCAGGCCTGGTGGTGATGAAATCTCTGAGTGCTTGCTTGTTCGTGAAAAATTTTAATTTTCCTTCACTTATGAAGCTTAGTTTGGCTGGATATGAGATTCTGGGTTGAAAATTCTTTTCTTTGAGGATATTGAATACTGACTCCCACTCTCTTCTGTTTGTAGGGTTTCTGCTGAGATGTCTGCTGTGAGTCTAACAGGCTTCCCTTTATGGGTAATCTGACCTTTCTCTCTAGCTGCGCTTGGAATTTTCTCCTTTATTTCAACCCTAGTAAATCTAGCAATTATGTGTCTTGGAGTTGCTCTACTTGAGGAATATCTTTGTGGTGTTCTCTGGATTACCTGGAGTTGAATATTGTCCTGGCTTACTAGGTTAGGAAAGTTTTCCTGAATAATATCCTGAAGAATATTTTCCAACTTGAATTCATTCTCTTCATGACATTCAGGTACACCTGTCAATCGTAAATTAGGTCTTTTCACATAGTCCCATATTTCTTGGAGACTTTGCTCATTCCTTTTTACTCTTTCTTCTCAAATCTTGTCTTCTCATTTCATTTCATTAAGTTCGTCTTCGACCTCTGATATCCTTTCTTCTGCTTGATCAATTCGACTGTTAAAACCTGTGCATACTTCGCGGAGTTCTCGTATTGTGTTCTTCAGTTCCATTAATTCACTTATATTCCTCTCTAGATTGTCTATTCTCGTTAGCATTTCGTCAAACCTTTTTTCAAGGTTCTTAGTTTCTTTACATTGGGCTAGAACATGTTCTTTTAACTCACAGAAGTTCCTTATTATCCACCTTCTGAAGGCTAATTCTGTTAATGGAACACACTCGTTCTCCATCAGGCCTTGTTCCCTTGTTGATGAGGAACTGTGATCCCCTGTGGAGGGAGAGGCATTCTGATTTTGGGTGTTCTCAGCCTTCTTACGCTGGTTTCTTCCCATCATTGTAAATTTGTCCACCTGTCGTCTTTGTAATTACCGACTTTCAAATTAGGTCTCTCAGTGGACGTCCCACTTGTTGATCCCAGCGCCGGAATCTGAGCGACCCACTGCGCCGGCCAAAACAGCGGCGTTAAGATTCGTGGTGCGTTTCTGCCCGGGAATCTCTGGTCTGGCTTCCTTCTTGAGTCCCCTTTTCAATCAGCTGAATAGGTGACTCTGCCTTCCTGGAGCTCCAAACGTCGACCAAAAGGGGACCCAGTCCCGTTTACTCTGCACCGAGAACCGCCGCGCCGGGGAGTCGGCAAAACCGCCACGCTGGCCATGCTGGCGACCCGTGGGGCTCCTCCGCTGGGAATCTCCTGGTTCGTGAGCAACAAAAATTCGTCTGAAAGTGTGGTGTCCTCTCGTTCTCTGCGCTTTCACTGGGAGCTACAATCCCGAGCTGCTGGTAGTCAGCCATCTTGGCGCTCTCTCTTTTTTTTTTTTTGAGATGAAGTTTGGCTCTTGTTGCCCAGGCTGAAGTGCAATGATGCAATCTCGGCTCACCATAACCTCTGCCTCCTGGGTTCAAGTGATTCTCCTGCCTCAGCCTCCCGAGTAGCTGGGACTACAGACAAGCGCTACCATTCCTGGCTATAATTTTTCTATTTCTGTATAACAAATTACCACAAACTTAGATGCTCAAAACAATAGCCATTTATCATCTTGCCATTCTGTAGGCCAGAAGTCTGGCTGGGTACTTGCCTGGGCAGTGCACATGCTGAAATTGGAACAAGAGTGAAGAAATTAGCATGGCCCTTGGCCAAGGATGACGTGCACATTTGTAAGGCATTCTAGATTTTTACAACAATATACACATAGTTAATGCTGCATTGTACACTAAAAATTTGGTGAAGAGGCTGGGCATGGTGGTTCACGCCTATAATCCCAGCACTTTTTGGGAGGCCAAGGCGGGTGGATCACCTGAGGTCAGAATTCTGGTTCAAGACCAGCCTGGCTAACATGGTGACACCCCATCTCTACTAAAAATAGAAAATTAGCTGGGCGTGGTGGCATACATCTATAACCCCAGCTACGTGGAAGGCTGAGGCAGGAGAATTGCCTGAACCCAGGAGGCAGAGGTTGTAGTGAGCCAAGATAGCACCACTGCACTCTAGCCTGGGAAACAGACAGAGACCCCGGCTAAAAAAAAAAAAAAAAAAAAAAACAACAACATTAGTGAAGAGTAGCCAGGCATGGTGGTACATGCCTGTAATCCCAGCTACTCAGAAGGCTGAGGTAGGAGAATCACTTGAACCTGGGAGGTGGAGGTTGCAGTGAGTGAGCTGAGATCACACCAGTGCACTCCAGGCTGGGTGACAAAGTGACTCCATCTCAAAAAATAAAAATAAAAAATAAAATAAAAGTAAATAAACAAAGAACAGTGAGGTTATTAGGGTGTGGGCCCTAATCCAGCAGGACCAGTATCCTTATAAGAAGCAGAGATTAGGCCAGGCAAGGTGGCTCACACCTGTAACCCCAGCACTTTAGGAGGCCGAGGCAGGCAGATCACAAAGTCAGGAGATCAAGATCATCCTGGCCAACATGGTGAAACCCTGTCTCTACTGAAAATACAAAAATTAGCTGGGCGTGGTGGCACACGCCTGTAGTCCCAGCTACTCAGGAGGCTGAGGCAGGAGAATCGCTTGAACCAGGGAATCGGAGGTTGCAGTGAGCCGATTGTGCCACTGCACTCCAGCCTGGATGACAAGAGTGAGACTCCGTCTCAAAAATAAATAAATAAAAATTTACAAAGCAGCAGAGATTAGGACACGGACACACACAGGGGGACGACCATGAGAAGACATGAGAAGGTGGCCATCTACAAGCCGAGGAGAGAGGCCTCAGAAGAAACGGACCCTACTGTCACCTTGATCTCAAACTTCCAGCCTCCAGGACTGTGAGACAATGCACTTCTATGACTGAAGCCATGCAGTCTGGGTGCTCTGTTAACTGCAGGTGCCCCTCAGCCTCCCTCCTCTGGCTCACGGCCCTACCCACTCGCACTGGCTGCTGCCCGCAGGTCCCTGCCATCTGTCTGCCTTCTGCCTGGCTTCCTTTCCACTTCTGTACTGTCTACCCAGTGGACTCCTCCATCTCCGGTTCTCCTTCTCGAGGTATAATTATAGCTGCTAGCACTAGTGCCCAATGCCACTGTGCCAAAGTGTCTGCCTGGCCTTCGGAGGCTGTATCTTATTTAACCTGGCGACCCTGGGAGGCAGGGGTTATCATTAGCCCTCTTATACCAATGCGATGCAGCACCCAAGGCTTCCCGAGTGGAAGGGGGTTGCCCAGGGCTACACTGCTAGCATACAAAGAGAATCTGTCAGCTGGGCATGGTGGCACATGCCCGTTGTCCCAGCTACTTGGAAGCTGAAGTGGGAGGGGTGGTTGAGCCCAGGCATTCGAGGCTGCAGTGAGCTGTGATTGCACCACTGCACTCCCACCTGGGCAACGGAGGGAGACCCTGTCTCAAAAATTAATATAAAAGCCAGGCATTGGCCAGGCGTGGTGGCTCACACCTGTAATCTCAGCACTTTGGGAGGCCAAGGTGGGTGTATCACGAGGTAAGGAGATTGAGACTATCTGGCTAACATGGTGAAACCCCATCTCTACTAAAAATACAAAAAATTAGCCTGGTGTGGTGGCATGCACCTGTAATCCCAACTGCTCAGGAGGCTGAGGCAGGAAAATTGCTTGAACCTGGGAGGCAGAGGTTGCAGTAAGCCCAGATCATGCCACTGCACTCCAGCCTGGGTGACAGAGTTAGACTCTGGCTAGGGAAAAAAAAAAAAAAAAAAAAAAACAGGTGCAGTGGCTAACACCTGTAATCCCAGCACTCTAGGAGGCTAAGGCAGGTGGATCACAAGGTCAGGAGTTCAAGACCAGCCTGGCCAAGATGGCCAAACCCCATCTCTACTAAAAATACAAAAATTAACCGGGCATGGTGGTAGACACCTGTAATCCCAATTACTCGGGAGGCTGAGGCACAAGAATTGCTTGAACCCAGGAGGCAGAGATTGCAGTGAGCCAAGATTGTGCCACTGCATTCCAGCTAGGCGACAGAGCGACACTCCATCTCAAAATAAATAAAATAGCAGGGTGTGGTGGCATGTACCTGTAGTCCCATGTACTTGGGAGGCTGAGGTAGGAGGATCTCTTGAGCCTGGGAAGTCAAGGCTGCAGTGAGCTATGATGACGTCCACTCTAGCCTGGGCAACACAGTGTGAGATGATGTCTTTCAAAAAATTTCAAAAATGGCTGTGGCCAAGGTGTCATTTCCTCCCACTTGGATTCCAGACTTTCCAGAGGCCCTTGGCCCTACAGGGGTTTGGGCATCTCTCTTTAGAGGCCTCAGGTCCATTATAGCACCTTGCCTGGCCTTTTTTTTTTTTTTTTTTTACTAAAAAATCTTGGGTGTTTTTTTCCTCCCCCCACCGGAGGAGAAAGAGTGGTGTGGCGGGAGCTGGGCTCACCGCATCCTCCACCTCCCAGGTTCAAGTGATTCTCCTCCCCCAGCCTCCTGAGTAGCTGGGATTACAGGCATGTGCCATCACGTTCAGCTAATTTTTGTGTTTTTAGTAAAGATGGGTTTTTCACAATGTTGGCCAGGCTGGTCTTGAACTCCTGAGCTCAAGTGATCAGCCCACCTTAGCTTCCCAAAGTGCTGGGATTACAGGCATGAGCCACCGTGCCCGGCCTCATTTTTACACTTTTTGTAGAGACAGGGTTTCAGCATGTTGGCCAGGCTGTCTCTAACTCCTGAACTCAAGTGATCTGCCTACCTCAGCCTCCCAAAGTGCTGGGATCCCAGGCGTGAGTCACCGTGCCCAGCCACTGTGATGTGATAGTAATCACATGCCTGTATCAACATATGTCCTGTAGCCAGTGAGTATATACACCTATTATGTACCCACAGATTTTGAACTCCTGAGCTCAAGCAATCCTCCCCCCTTGTACCAGCTCTCAGCGCGGGCTGCCTCCCAGAAAGTCCTCAGGCTCTGTCCACCCGCCCCCAGTACAAACACTCTCATGTCATGACTCGGCTCACAAACTGTGGTTTTCTGGACAGTGCAGGTATCTATGTTTCTCCTTCTCTTCCAGAAATTCTTTTACACTGTGCTAATAAATTACTGAGGTTGAAACACACACACAAAGCCCAAGGGAAAAAGGATACAGGCCTCAGACCCTTGACATTGAAGGGAGCAAGGAAAATAGCCCCCACAAAGGCAGGGGTCCGGAGGGTCTGGTGGAGCTCGAGCATCCACCGCCAGGCACAGGGCCCTCACTCGGGGCTGGGCCTTTCAGGCCCTGAATCCTGGGGTGAGGCGGGGATCAGAAACCATCTCTTCTCCTTGGAGGGGCTTGAGGGGAGATTTCCTTGCTTGCTTTGCAGTGGCTGCAAGAACTGTGGCGAGAGGTTGGGGGTATCCAGGCCCCCCTGGTGTCTGACCCTGAGCCCATGAGCCCCTTCTACCCCTGCAGGTCATGCAGGCAGTACTCAGCCTCCTGCCCACCCTCAACTTCCCACCCCTGTCTAAACCCTGAAACAGTGCAGAGGCACAAAACTAAGGGGGCGGCCGAAAGCCAGGATGCTCTACGCCAAACTAAGAAAATGATTGCCAGCACAGCATGTGCTTTCCAATCCGCCGAGTTCCACGGTGTCATCTGTGAAATGCGTGCATGAGGTCAAGTACTGTGTAAAGCAAAAAGCTAACATTAGCCATTGCATCCTTCCTGGTACAATGCTACTCCCCTAAAGGCCCTGCCCCCACTGCTCAGAGCACCCTGAAACTGGGCACCCCTACTGTGTGGGGTAGGGGTTCCCATTCTGCTCTCCCTGTTGCTCAGTGTGTGGGTCCCCATAGGTTGGCCCACCTGGGTGGGGTAGAACATTTTTAGGTCCTTAACCTGGGACCAATGCTCTCTTGCCCACAGGGCTGCTGCGAGATTTCAAGGTGGCTTCCTGGCCCAGAGAGGTGGCTCATGCCTGTAATCCCAGCACTATGGGAGGCCAAGGTGGGAGGATCACCTGAGGTCAGGAGTTCGAGACCAGCCTGGCCAATATGGTGAACTAGAGATGGGTCTACTTTAGTAGAGATGGGTCTCTACTAAAAACACAAAAATTAGCTGGGTGTGGTGGCACATGCCTGTAATCACAGCTACTTGGGAGGCTGAGGCAGAATTGCTTGAACCTGGGAGGTGGAGGTTGCAGTGAGCCAAGATCGTGCCACTGTACTGCCTGGGCGACAGAGTGAGACTCCATCTCAAAAAAATAAATGGCTTCCTGAAGTCATTATGGCAGAGGACCTGGGGCAGCAGAGGGTGAGAGGTCTGTTTGCTGCACTACCCCCCCCCACCCCCCCCCCCCCGCCAATAAAGACACTCTCATATCACGGCTCGGCTCTCGTATTACTAAACACAAACCGTGGCTCTCCGGGACAATGCAGGTCTGTTTTTCCTTCTCTTCCAGAAACCTTTTAAATTGTGCTAAAAAATGATTGAGGTTGAAACACACACAAAACCCAAGGACAAGAGGATGCAGGCCTCAGACCTTGACTTTGAAGGGAGCAATGTAACTGGCCCCCATAGAGTTGAGGGTCTGGAGAGGTCTGGTGGAATGCAAGCATTGCCCGCCTCGCATGGGAGGCCTCGCTTAGGGCTGGGGCCTCTCGGGCTCTCAATTCTGGGGTGAGTCGGGGATTGGAAGCCATCCCTGGAGCAGAGGGAGAGATGGGGGCTGTCAGGTTTCATTAAGGTTCATCTCACAAATGAGACTCTCCTAACTTTCTTGCTTCTCAAGGTGAGTCTCTGACACTGGCGTCACCAGGGAGAAACACAGGTTTTCAGGCCAGGCGTGGTGGCTCATGCCTGTAATCCCAGCACTTAGGGAGGCTGAGGAGATCACCTGAGACCAGCCTGGCCAACATGGGGAAACCCTTTCTCTACTAAAAATACAAAAATTAGCTGGGTGTGGTGGTGTGGGCCTGTAATCCCAGCTACTCAGGAGGCTGAGGCAGAACTGCTTGGGCCAGGGAGGCAGAGGTTGTAGTGAGCTGACTCGTACCAGTGCACTCCAATATGGGCAAAAGAGCGAGACTCTTGTCTTAAAAAAAAAAAAAAAAAAGCCGAATCTGCTTTGAAATGATGCTCCCCTGGGGGAGACAGATGCATTATTAATTTGGGGAGGTGCAGACACCCAGACCCCTTCTCCTGGGTTTACAGGTTGGTCAGATCCACTAGCCTGAGCCTGAAAGTTCCAGGAGCCCCAGCTGTCAGCCCCTGGGTTCTGAACACCTGAGGGATGGCCCTGAGTGCCCTCCGGCTGGAGGATAGCCCTGGCCCTTTGGCCCCAGGTGGTGTCAGACAACACGGGGTTTTCCCAGAAGTCGAGGGATCACTTAGCCATGGCTGGAAGAGAAGATGAATGCAGACCCACAAGATGCACACATAATAAACTAGCAACCTGAAAACTGGCTCTGTAAATGCTTTCTGAGAGGCCCACCCGCGGGCCAATGTTAGCTCAGCTCTCTGGGTGCTGGGCGCAACCACCTAGTCCTTCTCCTGATTCTTGGTAGCAGCTGTCACCATCCCTACTTGATCTTTTTCCTGAGGATCTGGAGGGGGTGGGCAGCGTGGACCCATCTCACAGAGGGGAGAGCAGAGACTCGGGGAGCCAGGGACTTTTCCCGTGTTGCACACTAGGGAGTGGTGGCAGAGCCAGGATTCAAACCTGGACTCTGACTTTGAGACCCCTTTGCTCATAACCATTCCCATCCCACAAGAGATCAGTCTCACAGAGGGGACACTCCGGATGGCCCCAGGGCTCGGGAGTGACCCAACTATGGTTCCATATACAGACGGGGGAAGAGGCAGGATCCTCAGGTCACTGGTGGGGAAGCGCTGGAGTGGGAAGCAGACAGAGGGGGGCCATACCCAGGGGCCACTTGCTGGGCCCACTGACCTGTGGACCTGGAGAAGAGGGACAATGGGTCTTGGGGGAGAAGAGGAAATATCTGAGTGGGAGCCAAAGGGCCAGGGGTGAGCCAGCACAGGGCACACCTGCACTGGGCTTCCCCTGGAGGGCTCAGCTGTCTTCGGGCTCTACCTTCTGGGGCCTGGCCCAGGCTTACCTTGGAGGAAAGAGGTCCCCTGACCCCTGGCACTCTATTACTGGGCTGTGGGCTGCTCACAAGTCACACACCATCACCCCTACACCAGCACATCTCAATGATCCCACTTCATTTATTACCAAAATATCACAGAATTCCAGTCATAGTTAACATACAGCGTTTAACACGAACCTGATACCTGTAGAGAGAACTGAGTATCCGGACAATTGAGTCGTTTGGAACCATAAGCCACGCCCCAAACCGCATCACTCCGTACTTCAAAAATACGCTTTTTTGAGAGCTTTGGAAACTGAATTAAAATGTCTACACAGCTATGAACAATTGTTTAATAAAACTTTTTCATGTTTCCATTACATGTAAATATATCAATTTGGCATCTCTATAAAAACTCTGAAAATGGTGCAAAAGTTTCATTCTCTTTGAGAAAGCCATTGACAAAAAATATTCACACTTCACTAAAATTTTGAAAAATGGTCTTCTTTCAAAGCTTCTTTATTAATCTGAAGTCTTCTGGGTTTATCAAAATCTAGGTTTGCTTTTTCCTCCTAAAACACTAAGGAACATTTATTCACAAGGATTAAAAAAAAAAAAATAAAAAGGCAATGGGGTGATGGAAAACTGATATGGGCTTTTCTTTTTTTTTTTCTGAAAATAATTTAAAAAGCTTAAAAGTTACATAAGCATCTTCAAAAGAACACAATGGGATTCATTTTATTGTTGACTTTTGGACACCAGTGTCAGACTTTATTGAAAACAAACCCATGTAAAAACAAAGTTAAAATGAAAAATGGCACCTGAAAAATAAATTATTTTATATAAAACAAATCAATAACTTAAAACACACTAATATACAAAAAGTCTAACCATCTACTGTACAACATGGGAATCGGTTAAGAGAGCCTCCCCCTCCCCCAAAGCAAGTCACTGTAAACGGAACATCACGTGGTCATGGTCAAAGAGGTGGCCCCAAACCAACAGAAAAGGCTTCCCTTCTGGTGGAAGAAAAATCCAGTCCTGTCAAAGTCTCCGTTAGCCTACCTTAGGTACTGGCGGTGATTTACAAGCGAGAAAAATAAAAAAGTTTTTTAAATGGCCAAGAAAAAAAACCTTGAATTATGTCACTGAAAGGTTGTAGAAAAATAGGATACGGTCATCAGAGGTCAGGGGAAAATCAAAAGGTTTGGAAACGTGAACCCTGCCTGGGATTCGATATTCAGGTTCTATTGCCATTGTTAAGAACGTGCCAATTGCCAATGCCACTTAAAAGAAAGCACTTGTGACTTCAGGGCTGTCTTGGGAAGTTTGGGGACAGGACCCCCCTCAGCCCCAGAGTCTGCTGAACCCTGGGGGGTCTCTCCTAAGGAGCTGTAGGTGAGGTAGGTCGGGGAAGATGGGAGGGGACTGAGGTCAAGGGGTGAGTGGAAGGATGGGGGATAGAGGCCTTCTGTCAGCTGAATTCTTATTCTCTTTTCATCCAATCACAGGAAGGCTGCGAAAAGCACATGGGAATGAAACCGGGCTGAATCTGATGTGAAATGTAACAGCTGAAGAATGTCAATTTCAATTTTCAAGTCTGATGCCGGACTGGGTAGGTCATGTCTTTCCAATGCCTGGTGGACAAATGGCCCTGGTTTGGAAGCAAACCGGGTAGAGGAATTGCCACTAACCGTCTTCCGGTGCTTCTGTTTCTCTGATCCAGCAGGGACCTCCGGGGCTGCCGGCTCCAAAGGGCCGGCCTTGGCTCCTGACAGCAGCACAGTTCAGTCCCTAGAGGCTGGGTCTCCAGGACTAAGGCCAAGTGCAGACTCTCAGAGGTTAAGGCAGCTGCCCTTGGCCAGGGAAAGGCTCACCTTCCAGGAGAAGGTGGCGGAACCCACCCAGCACCACCTGCAGGCGGGCCCCCGAGGAAGCCCATGAATTTCAGGGTATTCAAGCATGATGGTGGCTGGCGAGGGGACTCAGCACCCGGAAGGGAAATCAGTCACAGAGCTGTGACTAGAGGCACAGCCAGCACATAAAACTGTGGCTTGGCAAATTACACTGAAAATGAAGTAATGGCAGAGCCAAGGGGAACAAGGGAGAATTCATTTAGAAGCAGGTTCATAAATTCAGAGCTTCGTGGGGTCTAACTACCAGAAGTTACACAGGTCAAAAGAGAATTCAATCAAAGCCTCTTTGGTATTTATCAAACCAGATTTTTGATAAACGAACATTATCTACTCTGAACGCTTTTTCAAAATTCCCAAACAAAAGGAGAGCACTCATTTTTGCTAAATACAAATAGGACTGATCTATGTAAAATGTTTTAACAAATGGTTTCTTTTGGGTTGTGCCTTTTAAGAAAAGCGATCTCCCCTTTGCAAATAGGTCCTGATAAGATGTAATGCACTTTGAGGACACAGGGCCAGCAACTAGAACCTCGATGGGAATGAAGATTGCTTTTCGGCAGTGACAGTTCAAAAGCTAAATCCTTCCATAAGCTTGTGACTCCCAAGGAAATGCATTGTTTTTGTTTGTTTTTAGCTAGAAGGCTGTTCAGAGCGGAGACCACATGAAATGAGAATGTTCCTGAACTGAGAAACTTCAGGGAACTTTCAAAGGCTCATACATGTCACAGTTTCTTCTCACCTGTCCCAGCATCAGAACAATGGATAGGATTCAGACAAAAGGGAGCGAGGAAAGAAGCTGAGGTGCTGGCTACAGGCCCGTCATCATTTTCACAGTTGAAGCTTAAAACAGAGTTCTCTGTTGAATGCTAGCTATAGGCATGTTGGGGAGTGAGACTCGAGGACGAGTTTCAGAAGCGGGAATCCCACCTTCCATCAGAAGATGTTGGCCCGGGGAAACCTGAAAGGCTTATTTTTCCAGGAAAATGTTCTGGTCCCAGGGTGGAGAGTGCTCTGGGACAACAGAGCAGGGACCCTTCTTTTGTGTTGAATCCAGGCAAACAGGCCTCGGTTCTGGCTTTTCCTGAGTATCTGGGATTCTGTGGGAGGAAGGAGGTCCTCTGTGGCACCAGGCCGACTTTTATGAGACAGGGCCTGGGTATGGATGGCAACATCGTCAATTTGCAAGGATCGGGCACACAGCCCCTCAGTAAAAGATCAGGGAAAGGGGAGGGGATGGGCATCCTCAATTGTACAGGCGCCTCTCAGGACGCTGACCTGCTCTGGGGATGGCGGTGCCTGACTATTGCTCAATTTCCCACTTCAATAAATAAATAGACATAAATAAACAGATAAATACAGCCGTCATCTCATGATAGCAGTTACTAAAAAAACAGCCTAATGTCACGTTTTAGTCTTGCGTCAAGGTTAAAAACTGCTGGTACTAAGTTATCCTGTTTTTGATTCTCTCTGTACTAGTTATTGATAAAAACCAGATCCCAGTCCTGAGGAGTTTTGGGAGATCTGGCCCTGCCTATCTCACAGGCTTTCTCTTTTCCCCTTCCTCCGGGCTCCCGGTTTAAAAGCCACTAGTCTGTGACTGCACATTCCTGCGTCACAGACTCAGAAATGCTTTTGCTTGAGGCAAGTATTGGTTTCTTAAGATCTTATGACTCCTCCCTGAATGTTGGGCCGTCTGCACCTTCCCTAACCAAAAAGAAAGAAAAGGTAAAATAAAAAACAAAACAAAACTCGAGCAAAACAAAATCAAATTTAATGGTCTTAAATGCAAAAGTAAAAACAAACAAAAAACACAAAAAAGCAAAAGAAAATTAACAGAACAGAACAACCCAAAATGTCAAGGCAGTTATGAAGAGAACTTTGAGGGTTAATCTTTAAAACTACAAATCAAAGGTTTTGGTTAATAGATAACTGGCAAGAAGTAAGTACTTTTCTGCTGAGTGTTCATACAAAAGCAAAATTTCAAAACAAAATCCGACTAAAATAGAAAAAGGTCTAAGCGCTCACGAGAAGGGATGCGAGAAATACAATGCTCAAATGTTTCTGTGTTATTAAAAAACAGAGCCATCTTACGCCTCCAAGCTATGTTAAATGCTCTTAGAAACGGGAGAAATGGTCGTGAACAAGAGTATCCAATGTGGGGGGCGCCATGCATGCAATGTGTGGACAGAAACTCGGGGCGTCAGAGTAGCAACACATCTTCAGGCGTGCCTGGAGCTTAGATCTGACTCTGGAATATACTGGAGTTTCCCTGAAACTCTTTGGTCCGTTCCCATTGGTGCCTGGGCTTACAAAACACGTTTGTGTCCTTCTTTGGAGGGCCTGGCCCGGCATGTGGCCCCAGCCCCAGTGGTGGCCCACGCTGGACAGGCCCGCCGCCATTCCCAGGACCACTCGGCAGAGCCCGGGACTGAGTGAGCAGGAGGTGGCAACGGGACCTGCTTGGAGAAGCAACTTCCTGTCAACCAAACCATACACATTGCTTAAAATGGTGAAGCGGTTGAGAAAACGCACACTCAGCATCTGTCTAACATCTTTAGATTCAAAACTAAAACTAAAAGGTGATTTTTTTTTTTTTTTTTTTTTTTTTTTTGCTACCCGGTCTGTGGAGACACTGAATGAAACGCGTGTTAGACAGTCTTAGAGGTTAAAGCATGCTTCAGGTTCACCACCATCCAGAGGGACTGGTTAGTCAATGCAGTTCTACTTAGATTTCTGTTTAATAGATATCTTAAAGGAAATAACTTACGAAACTTAAGATTGGTCTAACATTGTGGGATTTCAAACATTTGAACATGTCGGTTGCATCCCAGAGTATAAAAACCTTCTCACTTCTCATTCAGACAAAGACAAACACTTGTGAAAATTGGCGCAAAATGAGTTGTACACTAACAAGAAAAGTTTCAACGCCTTCACTCTTAATTATCTATTCCGTACAAAAAAAAAGCATGAGCGAGTTATTTGTGGGACTTGTTGGTTTTGAAGGAAACCTGTAAGATCTTGTCCCCCAGGCGGTAGCCATTCAGGCTGGCTATGGCCATCGCGGCTTCTTCATAGTTTGTCATGGTCACAAAGCCAAACCCTTTGCACTTGTTGGTGTTGAAGTCGCGGATCACTTTCACATTGGTGACGGCGCCAAAGGGCCCAAACATCTGCCAGAGGATCCCCTCATCGGCGTCCTGCCCCAGGTTGTAGATGAAAATGCACCAGCCCGAAGAGGCGTTTCCGGGCACGTTGACGCCAGAGAGCCCGCTCATGTGATCGACACCCATGGGGGAGAACCTGCCGAACAGAGAGCACAGTGTCAGGCCAAGGTTGGTGCAGGTGGCCTGGGGATGGGGCTCGGCCTGGATGCAGGCTGACCATGGCCGCTGGGCCCCTTCCCGCTCTGTGCAGCCACGAGGTGCTCACAGTCGAGACACCTGCATGGGTCAAAATCATGACGTGGTTTTAAACTGGGAAGAATTAAATACGGTAGTGGAGGGTGGGACCCTGTTCTGTGGGGAGCTGACTCTGAGGGGCTGGTTGGCGCCCTCCACTCTTCCCACTGTGTATGTGGGGGGGCCTGTTTAGTGGTTTCTGCAGCTTCCCACAGTTTAGATGATGGGCACTTCTCCTGGTTCTGTTTTTTTTCAGATGGAGTTTCACTCTGTCATCAGGCTGGAGTGCAGTGGTTCGATCTGGGCTCACTGCAACCCTCACCTCTCAGGTTTAAGCGATTCTGCCTTAGCCTCCCAAATAGCTGGGATTACAGGCATGCAACACCACGCTGGGCTAATTTTTTGTATTTTAGGAGAGATGGGGTTTCACCATGTTGGCCAGGCTGGTCTTGATCTCCTGACCTCGTGATCCGCCCGCCTCGGCCTCCCAAAGTGCTGGGATTAGAGGTGTGAGCCATCAAGCCTGGCCTCCTGGTCCTCCTTTGAGGGTAAAAATACTCTGCAGGCACTGTGACAGCCTTAGCTGTCCCTGGAGGAAACTCTCCTCATACTGTGGGGGTGCGTGCAGGGACTGGAGAACTCCTTTTTCCAAATTTTGCACCTTCCCCTCATCATGACCCACCCCCAAGGGTTCACAGTCCAGTGGTCTCTGGTTAGAGTACATCTATGCCACCACCACTGCAGGCACAAGAATTCATTCCCAAGCACCAGGCAACCAAACTTCTGTGGCTGGGGCCCAACATCCCATGAGGGCCAGGGGCCAAACCACTGAGGGCTGAGAACTCAAGGGACAAGGATGGGCCCTGGGACGCCAGCAGCTGCAGGCTCACCAAACTTGACCACACACGTGGCGCTCTTTCCACAGCAATACTTTTATTCACATAAAAAACAAGCCTTTCTGGTCCAGGCACGGTGGCTCAAGCCTAGAATCCCAAGACTTTGGGAGGCCAAGGCGGGAGGATCACTTGAGAGCAGGAGTTTGAGACCAGCCTGGGCAACACAGAGAGACCTGATCTCTAGGAAAACAACAACAACAACAAAACCTCAGAAAACTAAAACTAAACTAAAATAAAGCCTTCTGAAAACGTATAGATGCTGTAATAAGGATTAAGGTAGATGACAAAACAGTTCCTAAAGCCAGGCTGCCCTCTAGAACTTTCTCAAATTATAAAACTAAAGGTCTGAGGGTCAGCTTGGGAATATATGAGTACCGCACATCTGTGAGGCCGGCATCTGTGAGGCCACACGACGCATACAGAGAAGCACTGCCTGTTCCAAAATAAAACTGGGCTTCAGGCTGTGGCCCTGTCAGCCAAGTGCAGCCCCTTCAGGCCCCAGCTGGGGTCAGCGAATGCCTTCAAGTGTCATTGAACAGATTCACCTTCTCGGCAGACACGAGAAGACACCAACCCCCAAAGGACAGCTCACTAGCCTAAGGGTGATTTTCTTTCTTTCTTTTTCTTTTTTTTTTGAGACAGGGCCTCACTATGTTGTCCAGTCTGGTCTCAAACTCTGAGGCTCAAGTCATCCTCCTGCCTCCTGAGTAGCTGGGACCACAGGTATGTGCCACCATGCTGGGCTAATTTTTACATTTTTTGTAGAGTCAAGGTCTCACTATGTTGTCCGGGCTGGTCTCAAATTCCTCGGCTCAAGTGACCCTTCTACCTAGGCCTCCCAAAGTGTTGGGATTACAGGCATGAGTCAACGCACCTGGCTTTCTCAGGAATTATTCTTGTTGGTAGTTTTTCTCCTGCTGATTTCTTTGGTCTTGACAGTCATAAATCTTTACCCCTCTTTTCCTCCAACCCCAATTCTTTTCCATCCCTTATCTCTGGGCTTTTCCAGACGTGATAGGAACTGACTGCAGACTGCCTGCTGTCTGGGTCTTTCTTCCTTCTCTTCTCTCAGCCTCCTGTGGCAAATTCCCTTCTTTCCTTCCAGGCTCTCACATCCTTCCCGCTTCCTTCTATTACTTTGTCTCGGTGGTTGCCCTGCCACTCACTTTCCTGCTAGATCAGAAATGTCTGCTCCTCTGGTTTCCCCTTTCTGTTCTCATTCTCATTACTGGGACCTTCCCTGTTTTCATTCCAGGCTAAGGAATAGTTCACCCAATGCCATCACCCACATACCCTGCCCCATCAAGAGCAGTGCTGACTATACGATCAGGTTTCCACAGATGAATTTTAAAATTCAGCTCCATTCTGTCCAGAGGAGCTTCCCTAGCCTTATCTTCAAACCAAAATCATCAAGGCAGGCAGGCCAGCTTTGGAGCTTGAGCCAGGCTGAGAACGCTGGTAACTCAGCCATGAGAATAACACCTCACACCGCAGCGTGTGGCAGTCAGCAGCGCCCATCCAGCCTCACTGTTAAAACAATCATGAGGCCAGGCTCACGTCTATACCCCCAGAACTTTGGGAGGCTGAGGTAGGAGGATCACTTGAGGCTAGGAGTTTACGACCAGCCTGGGCAACACAGTGAGACCCCATCTCAACCAAGAAAAAAACATTAAAAATAAAAATAGTGGGAAATCTGTTCTTGTCATACCTGAGATAAGCTCTCAGTGCCACTCCTTGAGGTTTTGTCAAAAACAAAACAAAACAGCCCTAACATTGAGACCTCTGCTGTTTCTGAGGCTGCGGCACACCTGCTCCTGGAGTTCAGGGCACTGACTCTCATTGTCTCTATCCCACTTGATCCCATAGCCAGAACCATTTTCAGGATGGAAGCACTAAGAAATCCAGGAAAACTGCCCCCCTCTAGGACAGGGCTTATAAACAGAATGCATTCATATAACATTCACCAATGCAAATGACTCCACAAGGCAGGTGTATGAAAAAGGTCTGCCTTAGGGCTGCTGATCAAATGTCTAAAAGCGTTGGAAGATCTGCTCTCACCTGAGTATACCTAAGGCAACGTCTTTTCTCCCACAGATAAGAAACATTCAGTATTCATTTTTTTTTTTTTTTTTTTTTTTTGAGAAAGGGTCTCACTCTGTCACTCAGGCTGGAGTGCAGTGGTGTAAACAGTTCACTGCAGCCTTCACCTCCCGGGTTCAAGCGATCCTCCTGCCTTGGCCTTTCGAGTAGCTGGAACTAAAGGCCAGCACCACCATGCCCATTTAATTTTTTCATTATTTTTTGTAGTAACAAGGGTCTCACTTTGTTGCCCACGCTGCTGAAACGCGGGGCTTCAAGTAATCCTCCCATCTCAGCCTCCCAATAGCTGAGGTTACAGGGGCACACCCCCACACTGGGCATGAAAGCATCCTTAAAGCTCACGGCTCCATGCTCCTGTTACTGGGAACTGCACACGGCTCCACACTCCTGTTACTGGGAACTGCGCACAGCTCCATTCTCCTGTTACTGGGAACTGCGAACTGGAGCTCTAAGTGCTCACGCTCCCAGGAGCCAATGGGGACCAGTGCTGTATTTTTTTTTTTTTTAAAGACAGGTTCTGGCTCTGTGGCCCAGGTTGGAGTGCAGTGGTATGATCACAGCTCACTGCAACCTCAACCTCCTGGGCTCAAGCAATCCTCCTACCTGAGACTCCTGGGTTGCTGGAACTACAGGAGCACACCACTATGCCTGGCCAGTTCTGTATTTTTTTGCAGAGATGGGGGTTTCTCAATATTGCCCAGGCTGGTCTTGAACTCCTAGGCTCAATTGATCCTCCTCTCTCAGCCACCCAAGGCACTAGGACTACAGGCATGAGCCACTTTGTACAGCCTGGTGTCACTGTTTTGATTCCCATGAAAAACAACACCTGGCTGGAAGTAAACGGCTTTCCTACAGACACCTTTCTGATGGAGGCTGTGGTGTGGCGCTACGGAATGATTCTGAAAGTGCTTTCTGATGGGATCAATCTAGCGTTCCTGTGGTTTCTATTCTGTGGCTGTGCAGTCGCCCGCCATCAGGGCTACGTGTGGCTTTCAGGAGTGCGCGCCCTCCCGACCCACCTGAATCTCTGCGCCTGGTGGTGAACGGGGCCTCCAAACCGTCGCGCTGGCGAGTGGTACAGCTGCGAGAGGAGTGCCACATTTTTGTTCTGGTTGGGATTGGCTGCAAACTTCACTGTGATGGGCTCAGAGGAACCTGGGGGTTTATGACCATTGAAACTGGTAATTGCCTCTTCTGCCTCCGACCGTTTGTCAAACCGGATAAACGCAACCCCTCTGGACAAACCTTTTTAACAAACCAACAAAAACGGAGTTAGGGGGAAAAACGCTAGGACTTTCAAAACTGAAAAGCAAAAGTCAGGTCAGTCTACTGTGGGCCAGACTGGAAGTCTGGTTAAGGAAATAAACAAAAATTAAACCTAAAAGTGAAAACAAATGGATGGAGTAAAGAAAATCAACGACTAACAGAAGATTAAAGTTTTAGACTTTCTTCCTGGTTGAAGCCATGACTCCAGTGTTGGCGCCCAAAGATATTTTGGTGACAGACATCCCCAAGAGACACCCGAGGCTCTTATTTGGAAAAAGGCGACATTAGGTAACAGCACATCCGCCGTCACTATTTAGCCGCCAGGTGCCCGTCATAGAATGGGTACGTGGATGTGCTGTGGGGTCGGTGGGTAACAGGGTTGGGGTGGGGGTTGTGTCTGAGAAATCCTCCCTGGGCTCTGGGGCCACCCACCTGGCTGCTGTCTCTGGGGCCCACTGTGACAGCGGGCCTCGTGGCTGAGCCTGCTGCAAAGGTGCCCAGCTTAGCCTGCGTGCCTTCTCCTTCATGCCAGGAGGGTGTGGAGTCCTGTGGCTGTCCCCTTGCCAGGTCTATGCTGCTGCTGTCCCCTCACTCTTGTCTTGGGATACTCCACTCTAAGGTCCCGCACCCTCCTGTGCCCCAAATTACCATCAGAATCAAATGAGGCCAGAACACTGCTCAGGCTCGCACAGCAGAGCTGAACCTACCCACAGGCTCATCAAGCAGGCCTGGGGTCCCGGTGTGGGAAGGGCCAGTCCTGGATCCCTGGCTGAACCCAATCCTGGACAGAGCAGCATGAGACCAGAGGCCTGCCCTGCTGTAGGCGGCACTAGTCAGCCGGGCATGGGTGTGAGATGCCGAGCAAGGCAGACGGAAGGTGGGCATGGCTGCCCCCCACCTCTGCCTGTCCATGCACTAGGCCCGGGAGGGAAACATGAGTAGCACCATCCCTTGAGGAACCTGGGGAGCAGACTGGAAACTAGATGCAGCTGAGGGGGATGGGGGTGAGGGCACACTGGGCAGTGGACTAGCTCCTTCTCCTGGGGAGAGGGCACGATGAGGTCAGAGGAAGGCCCAGGTGGGAGAGGTGACAGCTGAGGGGCCAGTCTGAGAGTGATATCGCTGGGCGGGAGTCATCGGTGTGTCCTGGTGGGAGAGGCTGCTGCAGATGGCCCAACCCAAACACCCTGGTTCTTAAGACTTTTAGTTGAGCCAGGTCAAGGTTTGTGCCTGTGGTCCCAGCTACTCCAGAGGCTGAGCCAAGAGAATTGCCTGAGGCCAGGAGTTCAAGACCAGCCTGGACAGTATAGCAAGATCTCACCTCTTAAAGAAAAAAAAAAAAAAAAAAAAAAAAAAAGACTTCTAGGCAAAGGGTGTCCTAAGTCAGGTTTCCTCTCTAGGTAAAGACCTGTTGTGCATGGTAAAGAACAATGACCAAAGCCAGGCAGCCTGGGGCCTTGGGTGACCTGTCCAGCGGGCACCCAACTGTCCCCATGTCCGGTCTCCACGTCTCACCTGGCACCTTACTCCACCACTTCCCAGAGGGTCCCGCCAGCTGCCCCACAATCGCAACACCTCAAGCCCCACGTGAGCACACAGATAGCAGCCTTAGTAAGGTCACACCTAGTGCTATGCACATGTGCCAGGAATATTCTGGGGCTCAGGCCCATTTCTGAGCTGCTGCTCAGAAGGAACACCTGAAAACATAACCCTGGCAGATGCTGCTTTCATTTATTCTCACACGACATGAATGACGGCTTAGTCAGTCTTGGAAACCTAAACAAAAATCTAACTTTAGGCAAATACAACTGACAGTTGACGCTGGCTGGCTCTTAGGGAAGCTGGCTCCAAGCAGATGGCATCATTCTGTTTCTAAAGACCTTGCAGCCCAGCAGAGAGAAGGCATGCATGCAAGTGTAGGTTCCTCGTCTGGTGTTGTAGAGTGCCCTTCAAATGCAAGTGAAACAAAGAAAACTCGAGTAAGGGGGGCCAGGAAGGATGCTGTTTAACACAGGGAATAGCAATTCACTATATTATTTTTTTCTGAGACAGGGTCTCGCTCTGTCACCCAGGTTGGAGTGCAATGGCTCAATCTTGGCTCACTGCAACCTCTACCTCCTGGGTTCAAGCGATTCTCCTGCCTTAGCCTCCCAAGTAGCTGGGACTACAGGCATATACCACCACACCCAGCTAATTTTTGTATTTGTAGTAGAGACAGTGTTTCACCATGTTAACCAGGCCGGTCTTGAACTCCTGACCTCAGGTGATCCACCTGCCTCAGCCTCCCCAAGTGCTGGGATTACAGGCGTGAGCCATTGCACCTGGCCACAATTCACTATATTATTTAAGGAATGTATACTTTCTGAACTTGGCTCTGCAATTTTGGTTTTTGTTCTCCCAGTGTTTTTTATTTTTTATATTTAGTATTTTTTGAGATGGAGTCTCACTCTGTCACCCAGGCTGGAGTACAATGGTGTAATCTCAGTTCACTGCAACCTCTACCTCCCAGGTTCAAATGATTCTCCTGCCTCAGCCTCCCCAGTAGCTGGGACTACAGGCACCTGACACCACGCCCGGCTAGTTTTTATTTTTAGTAGAGATGAGGTTTTGCCATGTTGGCCAGGCTGGTCTTGAACTGTTGACCTCAGGTGACCTATCCACCTCAGCCTCCCAAAGTGCTGGGATTACAGGCGTGAGCCACCATGTTCAGCCTCCTTGTGTTTTTAGAATTTAATAGCAAAGTCCAAGAAATGTCAAAATCTCCAGATGAATACATTATCTTTTTTTTTTTTTTTTTTAAAAAGAGTAGGGGTCTCACTATGTTGGCCAGGCTGTTCTAAACTGCGGTCAAACCATCCTCCCACCTTGGCCTCCCTAAGTGTTGGGATTACAGGCATGAGCCACCGCGCCCAGCCATCCCTATCTGTTTAACACTAAAAAGCCCATCACAGGAAGGCAAACTTCACACGCTGGCCTGCCACACGCTTCTCTTCCCTGCTGCCCACCGTGCACCTCATGAGGTCCCAGCAACAAGCACCCTCTGTCCCCAGCAGAGGGAGCCACAGCCCTGGGACTGGAGCCTCACCTTCCTACCAATTCTGTACCATGGGGTAGGAAGCAGAGCTGGGGAGACCCTCCTGGCTCCCTTCTCTCTGCTTCCCTCACCCCCCTGCAAAGATGCCAAAGGTTCCTTCCGCCACCTTGAGTTTCACAGCAGATGCTGGGGGGCAATACTGAGATACCCTCAACAGCCTGGGAGACACAACCTTGGAGAGGGAAAGGAGACAATGTCCCCAGTAGCTGTGTGCAGAGGTGTATTCCCCCAGCCTATAGCCTGTGTGTGCCTGAGAGACTAAGGATGGTCCCAGGAGAGTTGGGTGTCTGGGGGCGTGTTCTCAGATGCTAGGGCTCCGAGTGGAGAGCAGGATCCCCTCATCGGGGCTGGGCTATGGCTGGAGGGGAGTGGACTGTGGGCCAGTGAGGTTGGCTTCCCCGGCCCTGGGCCCTGGGCAGCCAGCTCAGATGCCCCAATGCGGAGTTGGGGGCAATGAACCCATGCACTGGTCCGACAGGATCGTTCTCTTAGCTGGCACTTCTAAGGTAAGTGAGGGGACTTCAGGGACCACAGGACTCTTCTGGTGCAGACCAGGGGAGTTTACACCGAGTAACTGTAACTGGCATTCCCCGACCCTCTTCCCAGAACGAAGGAAGAACAGAGGAGGCTGTGTGAGCGAGCCCTCTCCTTCAGCACTGTCTGGTGCCAGGGCACAAGTCTGTGCTAGGCTATGCGTGGTCCCCAAGAGCCCCCATGACGTGCACAGTGGCCGCTTCCCTTCCTCGGACCCCAGTGGGACTGAAGGCTGGCAGCGGCAGGGCCAGTGCACACTAGGTGGGGTTCCCACAGCCAGCCGGGAGGAGGGAGAGAGACTGATGAGGCTGCCCACCCCAAAGCATGCAGCTCAGGGGAGGGAGGACAATGTGCATGTCCCTCCACCCTGCAGGCCAGGAAGGCCCCACCTGTGTTCACATGATAGGTGAGGTTCTGGGCTGCTGGAGGAGCACTGCTGTTCTCTCAAAAAGAGGTAATCTCAGAGCATGACTTCCTGTGGCTCAACTACTTGGTGTATTTGAACACCACAGCCAAGGTGGGGGGAATATGAAAACCACTCACACAACGCCCAGGCCTTGCTGGGCTTGGCGAGCGGACTCTTCCCTCCTGGTTGGTCAGCACACTCCCACTCCTACCCCAAACAGAGCTGAGCGATCTGAAATCCCCTCAGGGTGGCCTGAGCTCCCCATCCCCAAGGCGGGGCTGTGTGCAGGGCTTGGCAAAGGATGTGGTGGTGCACTAGTTCCTAGCCTAGTGGGGCAGGCGGGCCAGGCAGTGGGTCGGGAGCACAGCTGCAGGTGCGGGCGTGTCCCCAGTGCCTCACTGCCTGATGGCGTCACACAAAACCCAGAGACCATGTTCAGTGCCGAGACAGCCTGGGGGGGACGGTGGGCAGTGAAGTGGCCAGGACTGCCCGTCCATGAGAGGAATTCACCGCCGTGTGTTCTGCGCACTTTAGATGTGCTCCCCAGAGAGGAGCATCTGAATTCTGGGGATTTGGGGCCATCAGACTACTGCACCCCAAACACCTGCAATGAGAGCCACAGTGGACAAAAGCACAGCAGCATTTTTTTTATCCCCAAGAAACAGGGTCTTGCTCTGTTGCCCAAGCTGAAGTACAGTGGCGCGATCACGGCTCACCACAGCTGTGAACTCCTGGGCTCCAGCAATCCTCCTACTTCAGGCTCCTGAGCAGCTGAGACGACAGGCCTGGACCACCACACCTGGCTGCAGTATCCAATTTTTTTTTTTTTTTTAAGATGAGTCCCACTCTGTTGCCCAGGCTGGAGTGTACTGGTGTGATCTCGGCTCACCGCAACCTCCGCCTCCCAGGTTCAGGCGATTCTCTTGCCTCAACCTCCCAAGTAGCTGGGATTACAGGCGCTTGCCACCACACCCGACTAACTTTTGTATTTTTAGTAGAGATGGGGTTTTACCATGTTGGCCAGGCTGGTCTTGAACTCCTGGCCTCAGGTGATCCACCCGCCTCAGCCTCCCAAAGTGCTGGGATTACAGGCGTGAGCCACTGCACCTGGCCTGCAGTGTCCTTTTCACCCCATTCATGGGCGAGGCCAGGACATTCACCTGCCTGAGGGAAGGTGCAAGAATTTCTTGGTGTTTCACCGCACATGAAATGCTGGCCTAATCCCCAGCTTCTTTTAACGCCATCTTACCTCCTCAAACCAATGTCAACTTTTCTCATTTTGGTACTGTCCTCATTTGCAGAATAACTAATGATATTTAAAATCAAACGATGATCTGCCTTCCCTAGACAACCCAGTCCTAGGGAATACCGTCCCCACATGTCTCAGGCCCCTGCGGTACCTGTGGTCTGATCCACGAGGACCCTTGAGTTGATGATCCGCCCAAACCGAGAGAACATGTCCTCTACGTCCTTCTGGGTCATGGTCCGCGGGAGCCCACTGATGTACAAGTTGGCATCTTTGATGACCTCTGAGCTCGGACGAGCGTACGACACCTTGAAAACACAAACGCTTTTTGGGATTAGGACAGGCATGTGGCCAAAGCACTGAGGAGGGTGCTAAATTTTGGGGTTAGGAGAAGCCAACATTGGGGGTTAGAAATCACACAGGGAATGATTCTCGTTGCTGATGCTCACCACCTGCAGCTGCGTGGTGGCAGCTCACTGCAGGACAGGCCGTGAGCTGGGGTGTCTGGAGTACTTCCTTACTGGGTGTTCGCCATCCCCAAGGAGGCAGGCATGACTCCCATGTCACAAAGCCCAACTGAGGGACCACAGCTGGTAGGTGGTCACCTCTCTGACCTCTCTGATGTGCTGGACAATGAGTTGGTGCTAGAGATAAGACCTGGTGCCTGAAAGAAGCCAGTAATACAGCGGGCCAGCAAGCTGGGAGCTGCTGGGAGCACACGAGACTCCCCTGCCAAAGAGCAAGCTTGCCACAAAAGCCCTGATGGGGGCTGTGAGTTCTGGGAGGACCCAGAGTTTGTACTCAAATCCACTCAAGTGTACACTATTAAACGACTCAATGCCTTTTGGATTTCTATTTTGCAAAATCAAAGAAAACTTAAAGAGAACCTTCTGGGTGCTTTCACAAAATGGCACATTCATCATTCATGTGTGGAGGGTGGTGAGGGGAGCCCAGAGGCCAATGCAAGAAAAGGTCTTCGGTGCTTTCCCAGGTTGGCGCTGATGGCCTTGCAGACCCCACGGCCCAGAAGGAGAAAAAGGACAAGGGTGGAACCTTTCTGTTTGTGAAAGGGCAGTCTGGCAGGACTCTCAGCCGTCAGAAGGTTGGAATATGGAGGAGGGGGCAGGAGCCGTGTGCCCAGAAAGGGTGGGGACTTGAACCTGTGCAAAAGGAAGTTCATTCCCTTTGAGTGAGGGGCACAGAACTGATGAGCCAAGGTGACTGAGGCCAGAACACAGGGAGAAACCGCCGCTCAGGAGTCACTGGGCAGAATCTGTGTGCCCAGAACACACAGGCAGCATCCTCTGAGAAGCTCCTATCATGTTCCAGAGAAAGAACGACAGACATTGCCCCTGCTCACAGGGCAGCGGACAGCCCAGCAGGAGAGCACGAGAGCCCCCACGAAGAGAGGAGTGGTGGGGCTGGAGGCCAGCTCCACCCGGCAGCGGTGGGAATCGAGGGAGCACGTCACCATGGGGCCCATGAGGTCTTTGGGGACACCGTGCTGCTCCCAGGCCTGGGGTACTTCCATCAGTTTGTGGGCAGGAGCTCTGGGGCGGGGGGCAATTGGTCACCATGTGATTTGGCTTAGGGGCTGCCAGTGCTGTCCTCAGAGAAAAAGAGGCTGCCTTGGCCCCCAGCCTCCTCTACAGTGTCCAGGCCTGCCTTGGCTCTCTGCAGACCTGTCTGGACTGGGCAGTATTTGGGGGCCTGCCAAGCCATCACCCTGGTGCCGGTGAAGCGGAGCTGAGGCTGGCACTGACTGGACCTATTGACGTGCCTGGATGAAGGCCCCAGAGGAGAAGTGCCCTAGAGCCAAATGCTAGGGAAAGCTCTGATGCCTCCCAAGGACAGGTGTTTCCAAGGACCATGGGAGCTCCGCTTTCCTCTTCTCTCTAGACACTGTCACATTCAGTCAGGCCAGATCAGCGCAGCTGGTGCACTGTGGGCATGCACCAACCTGGGGCTCCCCGGCCCGTCAGCCAGAACGCTCTTTCCTAAGCTTCCAACACTGCTTGCTCTCTGGCGTCAATCAGGTCTTTTTCTAGCTGCCCATTCTCGAGAATTCATTCAGTGAGGGGTTCAATTGTGCTCCCCCCATCAAAATTCATATGCGGAAGTCCTAATACCTCAGGACCTCAAAACGTGACCTGATTTGGATACAGTCATCATGGATGTAATCAGTTAAGATGAGGTCACACTGGTACAGGATGATCCCTAATCAAATGTGACTGGTGTACTCATAAAAGGGGGAAATTTAGGCCAGGTGTGGTGGCATAGGCCCGTAATCCCACTGTTTTGGAAAGCTGAAGTGGGAGGATCACTTGGACCCAAGAGTTCAAGACTAGCCTGGGTAACATGGCAAGACCGCATCTCTACAAAAAATAAAATTGGCTGGTCATGGTGGCGCATACCTCTAGTCCCAGCTACTTGGGAGGCTGAAGTGGGAGGATCGCTTGAGCACAGGAGTTTGAGGCTGCAGTGAGCCATGATCGCACCACTGCAGCCCAGCCTCGGTGACTAAGTGAGGCCCTGTCTTTAAAAAAAAAAAAAAAAAAAAAAAAATTCCATTTAGAAAGGGGGGAAATGTGGATATAGGCACTCGCACAGAGAAGTGCTGGTCGGAATACCCTCATCCCTGCCCTGGCCTGCAGCGTGAAGATGGAGGCAGAGACTGGGGTGACGCTTCTCTAAGTCAAGGAACTCCAGAGACTGCCAGCCTCCACTAGGAGCTGTGAGAGGGGCCTGGGACAAATCCCTTCCCAGTGCCTTTGAGAGAAACCAACCCTGCCGACACCTTGGTCTTGGGCTTCCAGCCTCCAGAACTGTGGGTCAACACCTGCTGAAACAGCCTGGCCTGCAGGGCTTTGTCATGGCAGCTGAGCTAACTCCTACCCTTCCCTGGCCACTTGGCTTGCCACGGATCCCTCCACTCACATCAACACCGAGTTCCTCCTGTCCCCATTTAGTTCTTGACTGCATTGATCATGACCTGACACACTATGTATTTGACTTTTTAAGTTTTTTGTGGAGGCAGGGTCTCGCTATGTTGCTCAGGCTAGACTTGAACTCCTGGACTCAAGTGATCCTCCTGCCCTGGCCTTCCAAATGGCTGGGATTACAGGTGTGCACCACCCTGCCTGGCATCTATTTTACTTATGTAACTTTTAACTTTGCAAACAGACTGTGAGGCTCAGACTTGTGTGTTTCCTGCTGTATCCAAAGCACCCACAGCAGCCTCAGGTGAATGGCAGGCATCTGGGGACTACCGCTGCATGAGTGGAGTGAGCAGGAGCTGCCGTTGTTAAGAACACCTGCCTATCTGCACTGCAGTCCCCAGCGCTGGCTTCTGTGGGTGACAGGAGTTTTGCTGTTCTGGTTCCTGAGGCGTGGATTTCACAAAGTGCTGAGGAAGCCTCCAGGTGACAGCATTAACTGCCTATAGCCATACATAGTACCCGGTTTCACACCCTGGCTTTGCTCCTCCATCCCTCCATGACCTTGGCAGAGCTGTTTTACTACTCAAAACATCAGCTTTTCCACCCAAATCTGGGGATCAACCTTTATGTGGCTGTGAGGAGGGCACGTGGGATACTGGACGGAAGGCCTGGCCCACCGTCGGCCCTTGGTAAGCACTGGCTGTGTGTGGCACACAGGGACCCAGCAGTGAGGCAGAGCTGTACACAGACACTCTGCAACGTCCTGGCAGGGACACCGAGCTGCATCTGGGCAATGCTCAGCCTGTCACCTCCATGCAGGAGCACTCCCGCTGTGGCTGCCTGGGCTGCTACTATGGGAAAAAAACTAATAGGGATGAGGAGACAGGACACCTCCCTCTCGACTCTGCCACCAAGGGAATGACATCAGGACCAAGAGAACAGAGTAGACAGGGTGAAGGCAAGGGTACATCTGGGCTGTCTGTGAAAGGTTGGGGCTCTGAGAAGCCCTACCTGCAGGGAGGAGTGGGGCAGAGGTTTGGGGCCAGCCTGTGGTTTCTGTGCCTGGGTCTCCTCTAGGATGCCGCCCTCACCCTGTGCCCCTGCAGGTCCTGCTGCTCGGAATACCCTCATCCCTGCCCAGGCCTGGCTAACTCCTCCTCCTCCTGATCTCAACTCTGGCTTTCTTGAGGGAGCCTTCCCTGGCACTGGCCACTATTATAGGCTCCCTGAGACCATCCTGGGGCCACCTAATAGTGAATAGTGGGTACCGCTGGGCTCCCTGAGGGCAGCCACAGGCCAGGGACCCCCAGCACCTAGCAGAGGGCTTGGCCCTAGCCCATACTGTCATAAAGGATTTGTCTGGGGGTCCTAAGGATTGTGATAAAGGATTGTCTGGGGGATTTGTCTCTGTCCCAGATTCCTAGGAGGGAGCTTCTAAAACTCCTAGAATTTCTGTCTTTGTTACTGTGAGGACTTCGCTCCCACTTAAGTTTGTACTAAGTGATGGACCTCAACACCAGAAAGACCAAGCATGTGACTAGAGGGTTGAGGTGATACTGGTCTGACCTGCAGGGTGGGGGAGGGGAAAATGGTGCTGGGGATGGAGTTCAATCACATGGCCGAAGACTCAATCAATCATGCATTCACAATGAGAGCCCAGTAAAAACACTAGACACCAAAACTCCGTGGAGTCTCCTGGTAGGTACACAAGTCACATGCAGAGAGGGCGAGGCACCTGAACCCACTGGGTGTGGCCATACGAGCTCTGTGCTTGGGACCCTCCTGTGTGGCTCTTTGTTTGGCAGGCCCTGAGTTGCAATCTTTATAAACAAGCTGCCAATGGAAGTGTGAGTTCCAGGAGTCATTCTAGTGAGTTATGCACCCTGAAAGAGTGGCGGGAACCTCTGAATTTGTAGCCAGTTGGCCAAAAGTGCAGGGGCCTGGGGACCCCCAAAGGGCGACTGGCATCTGAGGTGAGGATGGTCTTTTTGGGGACTGTGGCCTTAAACGTGCGGGGGTTGTGCTAACACTGGGTGACTGGTGTCACAATAGAACTGCAGGACACCAGGTGACATCAGATCAATACTGAATAAAAAAGTCCAGGATGAACTGAACATACATCTCCATCCAGGCCCTTATCACGCTGCACAAATGAGTCACCCTTAAATTGGGGAGGGCAAGGGATCCGAAGTCCCTTTCCCTTGGTCTCAAGGTACCTGGCCCAGCATTGGACACTGGCCAGGGGCTCAGTAAACGTTTGCGGAATGAATATGCTTGAAGCACAGAGGACCCCAGGGCCATGCCAGAGGAACTGCCAGAGAAGCCAGGCCCGGACAGCCTAGGGGAAGCCCCAGGGAGAAATGACTGAGGACTGTCACATCCCCTCCAGGCTGGCCTGTTTCTGCAGAACTAGGACAGTGGTGGGAAGCCACTGAGAACCAGATTCTGCCAGCAGAGGGCAGGGCTGCTGAAGGTGAGTCAGGCTTCTACACACATGGCTGGGATGACAGGAAGGGACATCTGTCCAGGCCTGGGACCCTGGGGTCCTGCATGGCTCTGGCTTCAAACTCAGGCAGCCACTCCCCAGTCTTTCCTATCAACTTCAATCCTAGAGAGGCAAGAGAGTCCTGTTGACACAATTGCATTGGCATCCAGCTCTTGCATTTGAGTAAACGGAACCACTGCACAATAACCAACTGTTCTGCTCCACACCTCAGCCTGGCTGCCTCAGAAACAACCTTAAAATATTTTCTAAATGGAGGAGAGAACTCCTAGGAGATAGGGAGTCCGGGGCCAAGGATCAACCACCGGAGGCTGGAGGTGAGGAAGAACTGTCCCTGCTCAGGTGGAAACGCATGGCGCTGGGCTGCCCTCACCAGCCCCTACAGTGGAAGGCACCTTTGGGGACCTGCGCTGGACACGAGGATGCAGCAGCGGTGCACCTGCCCTTGGGGAGCCCACTGCATACCACGTTCATGCTGCTGGCACAGGGTGGGTCTGGGAGAGCTGCTGCTGAGCAAGGGTTTAGCCACTGAGTAACCAAGATCATGCGGCAGTCTGAGGGCAGGGACAGAGGCCACCTCTTGGCTGAAGGTGCTGCCACCACCAGGTAACAGGACCCTTCCTGGTGGGCAGGCAAAAATCCAGGCTCCCAGGCCTGCCCTGCGGTGACTCAGGAGGCCCCTCTGCAGCCTGGGAATCTGTATTTTACAGCTCCCCAGGGAGCCCTGGCAATCAGATAAGCTGAGGAAGCACAGCCGCGGTGCAGGTCCAAGAGAGACCCTTCTGGGCACCTGATGTGATTCAGGGAGCACCATTCTCTGGGGTAGGGTCATCTAGCAGATCTAAAGGCTCACACAGGCCCACCACATTCCAAATGGCCTCGGAGAAGGAGAGGGGATTCTGGCCGATGAGCCCCCATGTCCGTGGGCACCTTGCGAAGGCAGGCACTGAGAGTGGGTGGGCACAGTGGCTACTGCAGGAAGCCCGGTCGCAGGGACCTCTGCCTGGGGCACAGGAGGCTCAGGGAAGGCTCAGCAGCTCCCAGGACTGACAGGAGACCAGGGAGCAAAGGTCGGGAAAGAAATGAGGCTTGATTCGGGTGGCAGGAGCTGCCCACGATCAGGGGAGCCAGAAAGCAGATACTTGGGGACGAGGGGGATGTGGGGCTTGAGGCTGACAGCCCCAGTGTATGAGGGAGTGGGTCAGATAATGATGACAGAGGAAATCCATCTGTGTAACCTAGAGGAAGGACCTGCCGACTCATCCCAGGAAGGCACCACAGCCCTGCTGGAGGTGCCACCTCCAGGCTGCTGCAGTTGGCTTCCACAAGTCACCTGCTGCTGTGAAGCCTCCACATGTGGCACCCACCTGTCACACGTGGCTGTCCTCTTTCTTGTCTACTGTCTGCAGCCCCGACTCACGGGGGCACTGAATTGGTCTGTTTTGGTCACTGTGGGGCACATAGTATCTGCTGAGTGAATGCTGGTTGAACGGGCAAGAGGAGGGTTACAACAGGCCCCAAGGAGCTCAGAGGGAGCACTGTGCAGGCTGAGGGTGGATGGAGCTGCCCGGGGATGGAAACACAATGAGCCAGGCAAGAGAGGCAGTGGGGGAGGCCTGGGAGCTGACGCACCCTAGGGACACCCTGGGCGGGGAGTGGGCCCTGAGCCACCCATGTGAGGCCTGGGACGGTCACCACCTGATCAGGGTATCTGATGGGAGCCCCCAAGGAGCGGCTGTGCTCACAGTCCCCTGGAGAGAGACCGTGAGGCTGGGCGGGCTCAGCACAGACCTGTGCCCAAGCCAGGAATGGAGGTGGTGGTATCAGATCCCTTTACCTTAATGGTTTTTGATTGGAGCCTCAGGCCATTCAGCGTGTTGATTGCTCTCTCTGCATCCTTTGCAGTCACGTAGTTGACAAAGCCATAGCCCAAGCTGTGTCCTGTGCAGAAGAACACAAGGACATTGTTAAGTTAACCGCCTGTGAGTAAGAGGTACAGGGAGGTCAGGCAGCACTGTATCTGCCCATATCTGGAAAACGGAATTATAGGCGCTAGCAAGCTTTCTTACTTTCTTTGGCAAACAAGTACATTTTCTGGAATGAACACAGGTTACTTTTTTTTTTTTTTTAAGAGACAGGATCTTGCTCTGTCACCCAGAGTGGAGTGTAGTGCTGAGATCACAGCTCACTGCCACTTTAAATTCTTGGGCTCAAGAGAGCCTCCCACCTCAGCCTCCAGAGTATCTGGGACTACAGGCCCACTCTACCAGGCCCAGCTAATTTTAAAAATTATCTGTAGAGATGGGGTCTCTCTATGTTGCCCAGGCTGGTCTAAAACTCCTGGGCTCAAGCAATCCTCCCACCTTGGCCTCCCAAAGTGTTGGGATTACAGGTGTGAGCCACTGCACCTGGCCAAGGTTTTATTTTTGTAATTAAAAAAGCCCTTAAAAAAAATTAAAAAAAAAAAAAAAAAAAAAAACTGCTATGGATGACATCTTTCTGAATGACCAGTCCCGTGGGTGCCAGCTGCTCTGTGGGGTCTGGGTGGTGAGGATGAGGAAGGTCATGGCGGTGGACAGGCTGGTGGACCCCAGTCTGTGTCGCTGTTGCTTTGCCGCTTCCTTCTCAGCAGGAGGGCCTGCTGGCACCACCCAACACCAGTTCCATTTACCTCCCCAAGCCTGAGACCTGCCCGAACCCGCTGTGGGGCAGAAGAGGATGGGGAGCCCAAGGAGAAGCCAGGGGCTGAGAACCCCCAGCCTCACAGGGCAGGCCCTGCCCTGGCATCATAGCCCTGGCCGTCTCCCGAGCTTCTCTCGGCAGTGGGGGAGAAAAAGGGTCACAGGCAGGTGTCCCCCGCACCCCTGCTATGAAACACTCTGCACAGGTACAAGTGAACACCCACTCACTGGACGCCGCAGGAGGGAATCAGGATGGTGAGGGCAGGACCAGAGGGGACAGCCACTGGGGTGGGGGTTCAGAAGGAGCTTCATAGAACATCTGGCCAAACACTTTCACTAAAGGAGAAGTGAGGAGGTTCAGGGAAGAGCGCAATCCCTGTCCTCCCCGCCAGCTTATCCACTCAGTCGCAAGGCTGGTGAGCACCAGCTGTGGGTGGCCAGCCTGGCAGGCCTCACCCAGCACTGCTCCATTCCCCCAGCCGGCAGAGGGTGACAATGAGCAGATCGCTGAACAGAAGGAGGCCTGGAACCCCACTGAGGCAGAAGGCCATCCACAAGACTGGCTCTGAGTTATTTTTTAACAGTTTTATGATATGCTTGGGTAGGCTTATAACTTTGCTCCTCCAAACAATACTTTTCTTTAGAAAACAAGCCCTGTGGAGAGTTCCTTCCATCAAGTCGCTTCGGCTTAACCTATTTCTGGAGGACTAGTACATGCAGAATTGGCAACTACAGGAGATGCAAAGTTCAAAAAGCAGATCCTACAAGATGTAACAAATACTTTTCTTCTAAACATCAAGGTATAGCTCAGGCACACTTTGATAATAACAAGATCTGGTCTACTAAGGAATCCAGCGTGATAGCTGAACACTTTAGACCACAAAGTTAACATACGTCTTACAACACGTTACCCTCCTGGCAGCTGGGCCAGGGGCATCCAGACCCCTCTCACTGATAGCAAGATTACAAATCCGCCAGAGAGCCTAACCCAGGTTTGCTACTTTCTTTTCCCTCATTTTATTAATTTATTTTTTGCCACTTTCTTTTTAAAATAAATTTTATTTTTCAGAACAGTTTTAGGTTTACAGAAAAATCACAGGGATAATACCAAGTTCCCTTACAGCCCCTCCCAGTTTCCTCTATTGGTACCACCGCCCGTGAGTATGGAGTGCTGATGACAATGAATGTTTCCATTAACTTCGGTCCACGCCCCATCCACTTCCTTAGTCTTTCCCTCATGTTCTTTTCTGCCCTGGGATCTCATTCAGGATCCCACATGACATTAATAGTCAGGTCTCCTCAGGCCCCTCTGGACCGTTGACAGTTTCTTGTTTCTCGTGACCCTGACAGTTTTGAGGACTGGTGAAATATTCTGTAGACTCTCGATGGGGTTTGATGGAGTCTCTGTCATGGCTGGAGCGGGGCTGTGGAAGAACATGGGTGGAGCGCCCTTCTTGTCATACCATGTCAAAGGCACAGGCCACTGATATGACTTATTGCTGCTGTCGCTGACCCTGATCAACTGGGCTGAGGCGGGCAGTGTGCCGGTTTTTTGGGCTATAAAGTGACTCCCACCCCTTTCCACTCTGCCCTCTGGAGAAGGAAGTCAGGACACACAGCCCATGATTAAGGAACTGCTCAGAAGAATTCTGCTCCCCCTCTGCAGGATGCAGCAGCTACAGAAATGACGTGCTGTTAGCTCTGCACAGGCCACTCTTTCCTAAAGAACTAAATCACACTTGGATCCTCTAGACCCATATTTGTAATAAAACTACATGGGGCTGAGAGACTCAGCTATGGGGCCCTGGACAAAGTGAGAACTTGGAGCAGCAAGATGGCAGGACCAGGCCCGTGTGGAGTGAGTTGGGATCGCAGCTTAGAGAACAAGCAACAGAGCAGCACAGCCAGGTCAGGACGGCCAGGGCCTCTGCAAGCGCTCCAGACGGCAGTGTGAAACCAGACCACAGAACATCTGTGATATGGATTCCTGACCACGATGCCAGCCTGGCTGGGTTTTTTTCCTTCCCAAACACCTGCTCTCCTACTGCTCAGTGCCATCTGCATTCGGGTCCCATCTTTCTGCTCCATCCAGAAGCCTGGACCACCTGCCTCCTTGGCTGTGGCGTGCTCAGATGGACTAAGTGTGGCTTGAGAAAGTCACACACCGGTAAGGACTCAAGCCCCAAGCCCTGGTCCTGTGTCCTCAGCCACAGCTGGCTCCTCTCAGCACGTAAACACGGGCCCTCCCTGGCCCAAGTCCCTTCTTCCTCATCTCCCAGGTGTTAGGTAGTCCTGGCTGATCCCCTAGGATGGTCACTGCCCTGGGGACCGTTTCAGGATGTGTCCCCTGAGCTTTTGGCAGCTTGGGGTAGGGCCCACCCTCTTGGGATGCCCCTTCTCTGGGATGTGGAAACCACACCAGATTTCCATCTCCCTGACTGTCTCTGCTCAGGCTCCTCATCCCGTCTATTCCATGGAGACCCACGGGCACCAAGGATCCACCTTTGGCCCTGTCTCTGCCATATGCTCTTCCTCACCACACACGTGCCCAGGCCTGCCAACATCACTGAGGGAGTTACATACCCTTGGGCAGCCCCAGTTGCCTTGCCTGGTAAAGCTCCTCCTCTGTCTTCAAGGAGCTGACACATTAACTGAACACCTACTATGTGTCAGGTCCTGTGCTCGGCTAGGGGTTAGTGATGCATGACAGAGGACGGTTGCTGCCATCATGAAAGCTGTCACATCCCTGTGGGCAAGTCAGACAACACAGTGGAGAGAAACTGACAAGCGTTAGATGGGGGACAGGAGGGCCCGTGGCAGAGGAGATATTTGAAACAAAACCTCTGTGTGGCTGGCGTGAATAGTCCAGACAGAAAAGCAGGTGCCAAGTCTCTGAGGCGGAGATGATGCCAGTGTATTCCCAGAAAGAGGTGGCCTGTATGGCAAGAGGCCTGGGAAGTGGCCCCTGGCAGCAGGGCAGAACCAGTGTGGGGCCAGCGGGCTGGTGATCTAATCCAGATAGGAGATTTGGGCTCTGTGCACAGGCCAGAGCAGCAAAGGAACGCCCTACCCAGAGGACTGCACCTGGGGTAGTGGGGAATGGTTCCTGACTTCCCTACAGGATGGACCTTGTGGGTCAAGGCCTGGCTTCATCTCCTAAGTCTGCTCTCCTTTCTGTGGTGGGTGCCTGGAGGCAGTTGGAGGGGAGGCAGTTAAGGGACAAAGATGCCCTGGTTTCCACCCACTGGGTGAGGCCATCAACTGGAAGGGCTTTGTCCAGCACCTGACCGCCCACTTCCACCCTTGCCTCCAATACAAACCAGCCTGGGCAGCTTTTTAAGCCACCACTGACTGCTCAGGCCACGCACCCAACCAATGAAGTCAGAAAAGGAGAGGGGGTTGCCAGCTGGCCTCAGTGGTTTTAAGACAGGGTCTCAGTCCGTTGCTAAGGCTGGAGTGCAGTGGCATGAGCTTGGCTCACTGTAACCTCTGCCTCCTAGGCTCAAACAACCCTCTTACTTCAGCCCCCCTCCAAGTAACTAGAACTACAGGACCTCACCACCATGCCTGGCTAATTTTTCTATTTTTTTTTTGTAGAGATGGGGTTTCGCCATGTTGCCCAGGCTGGTCTCAAACTCCTGAGCTCAAGCAATCCTCCCACCTCAGCCTCCCAAAGTGTTGGGATTACAGCCATGAGCTACCGTGCCCGGCCTCCTCAGTGGTTTTTTTGTGGGAGGAGATGGCCAGAGGCAGACCTGTGTTACTTACAGTTAAACGATTACAAGCTTTTAAAAGTTTTTAAAGCTCCCTGGCAATTCCAATGCATGGGGAGCATAGGGCTTTCCACGGTTATGCAGAGGAGAGGCGGCCTCCAGAGGAGAAGTGGAAGTGGCCCCCAAGTTAGTTTCTCCATTCAGAGTCCACAAGCCACCTGCACCAGGGCCATCTGGAGTTCAGGGCAACAACTTAGCTCCCTAGGTGCCTCCCATCCCAGTCCAGGACCCAGGATGTCCGGCAGGCATGGAATTCACATCTCCAAACTCCTTAAGGATGCTCCTCCTGCCCACTAGCAGCAGAGCCTGTCAGAGCCCCTGTCTGGAGATGGGAGATCAGCACCGAGACAGGAGGCCTGAGGGCTTGTGAGGGAGCAGGAGGACAGGGGCCTGCCTGGTGTCAGTGCTGGGAGGCAAAAGGGGACCCTGGGATGGGAGGTGGAAGAGGCTGGGAAGCAGGAAGGAGGGACTGGCAGGGAGGAATGCC